AGGACTAGGTTTTTAAAACCTCCTTTTCCCCCTCGGAGAGAAAAGTGTGGGGGGAAACGGGTAAAAAAAAATATTGAACGTTTTTTTTCCGCTGAGGGTTTTGTCGATTTCGGTCTAGGAAAACCCCGGGTGGGGGCACACGGGAAATTGGGGGGGGGCGGAAAAATTTCCCCCCCCCCCCCCCCCCCCTTAATTTTACTGTAAGGTTTTTATTAATTGTTAACTAAAGAATTCTCAGTAAAAAAAAATAGTATCTATATAATTTTCTGGATCTGCCCGTGAAGAGAGTCGCAAGCAGAAGCGGAAGAACTAAGGCAATCACAATGTCTGTTCTTATCCTTCCACTCATGCTCTGCTTTCGACCCCGACAACTTTGTTTTCACTACATCATAAGCAAAGGAGGAGTCGGAAGAAAATGGACGTGTTCTGATTCTTCCGACTCCGATTACGTTGCGCTCATGACTTCCCTTGTACGACTACGATAGTTTGATTTCACTTTGTCGTAAGCGCTCCAACCCTGACTCCGTCGACTGGCATGGTGAAAACCAGGTTTGACTGTGCGTTACTCCAATGAAGGAAAAGATATAACTAAAGTTAACTCCTTCAGGCAATGTCCTCGGTGCTTCCATAGCGGACTCTTGGATTTGCCTGAACTGTTTCCTGGGACCTTACCCGTGGATGCTCGTTATATGCGTCCCTTCTTATGGGGATCGTCTCTGGAGAAGTCGCCCGCGAGGCTGACCGCTGACGCCTCTTAACAGCGATCCAGGCACGACAATATCCCAAGCTACAAGTCGGTCCAATAAAACGCTGCCCAACCTTACACGCAACGATGGACACAACGATAAACGCCAAAATAGATAAAATTACCACAGAAGCTACGTACGTTGAATCACTCACCTTAGTCTCAATTTTCTTACTTCGTTGCTTTTTAATTTTGATGTAGTGTGAGTAAGAAGGATCGTCTTTGGGTACTACCCCATGAGGAAAAAGTCCATTAACATTGAACCACTGTGATGTAAACTCCGATGAATCAGAATTTGAGCCATCGATAATGGTTATGGTCATAAAGTTCTTGGCTGAATGCGATAAGGGCGGCGCACCAGATTTTGCGCCAAATCCGCAAGCAACTTCCTCATTCTTTTTGCAGCAATCGGGTGATTCAGAGCCACTAAACGTCGCATTTTCCAAGTAAAGGTAGCTTTCCTCGCAATCGCCACGAAAGGAAAACTTTGTGAAAAGCAGCTTAATGTAAAAGCCAGAATCATCAGTCCATAACGTTTGGCTGCATCGTTCAGCTCTCTTGTTGTGAGGTGTATTTATGCTTTCCGGGTATTTCACCTCACCCGTAGCTCGTCCCGTGACATTTATAAGAATTGACCCACAATCCGCCTCGTCGCTGCCGTCATGGCAATCAGCAACACAGTTACACCTTTTGCAGATATCAACAGTCTCGTTGTGTGCGCTGCAGTTAAATACTTCAGAGTCATTACAATGATTTGTTACGCAAAAGCCTGTAAAACAGACGCCATTTGTCAGGGCAGCCAACGACTTTTTAAGTAAAATAAAGGTTTGAAGTGAAGGAGCACATATTGAAATTTCTTAAGCTAGAGAAAGGCAAAAAGTTTCAGGATAACCGTAGCCTGCGTGGCAGGCGTTCGAAAGGGAAGGGGAAGGGAATTACGGCGCGAGGGGAAGGGAATTACGGCGCGAGGGGAAGGGAATTAGGGCGCGAGACCACGCGCGAGGGAGGAGGGAGGAGGGGAACGCCTGCAAGGAAGCCATTGTTTTCGCCATCCCGCCTACTAATTAAAAAAATAACAAAAATAACGCAACTGTGAATGACTAGCTGTCAAATAAGTCTGGCCGCGATGCACGTATTCTAGTCGTATTTCTCACACTGTTTTTCTTTTGTTTTCCTAAAGCAATCTAAAGTAAAGGTACTATAAAAAAGTTCAAACGCAGTCGTCCATCGAAGGAATCTTCCTTGAAAGTTGCAACGACCCGTGCCGAGTTACATAAAATCCAGCACAAATCTATTCAAGTTGTTGCTGAAGGAATCGGACTAGAAAACTATTTAATAAGTAATGTAGCGGCTCCTCGCAACTTTCACTGCAATGTTTGCCTAAGAAAAATTAAAACACTTTGCCGTCACGCACTCTTTGAGTTTCTATCAGGACGAACTGGATCCAGCCGAGCACACTAAAGAACGTTGGTGGCAAGGAAAGAAGAGTTGAACTTCGAAGATCTGCAAGAAGGCAACAATTTATTATTAAAGTAAGTTCCTGGCGGTTTTATAACCGGCAAGAAGAAGTCCTCGACCAAAAATCGCCAAAAGTTATAGATCGCTTCGTCTTCAATTATCTTACCGTTGATAACGCGGGTCAAACAGCAGATAACAAGCACACAGGCAGCATGAATGTTCGTTTCTTTCGCCTGGCAAGTAAAACCGACAAGCCGTTGGGGGATAATACTTTTCAGAACCAGTCAGTAAACCTCATCTGCTGACAGGCCTTTTCCTTCATACGGTTCTTTAACTGCTTTTTCCTACTCTCCTTTGAGGCTGAAAATGCCTTCTAATGATGAATTCGCGTAGAGAACTCTCAACACGCTTCACTAACCACAGGCAGCCCAAGCGCACTATTTGTGGGTTCGGGCTTCAGAGGTCATTTGGTCGGAATATACTAGAATTATTATCGAGTACTGAACACTATAAAAGAGTGTTCAGTACTCGATGGAAAGAAAGTCGACTAAACGGCGTTTGGACCAGCCGTAGGACACAGATTGGCTATGAACTAAAGGTAAGGGAGCTTTTTGAATCAATATTTCGCGTGATCATGATTTTTTTTTTCTTAGCGTTGTAGATTCGAATACATGTGATAAAATTCGAACAATAAGGGCCCGAATCACATGTAATAATGCAAGAAATATCGATTTTCGTTATCTTAAAGGCTACTAGTACAGATAGACAAACAAGAAGACTTCATATCTTTAAGACTTTTTACATTTATTTGGCATCAGATAATACACTAATAATTCTAGTATATTCCGACCAAATGACCTCTGAAGCCCGAACCCACAAATAGTGCGCTTGGGCTGCCTGTGCACTAACGACATATGTTTAGTTGTGAATGGTAACACTCAAGTTACTGCATAACATGTAGGTGACCAATTAGAACACGCTATTTAGATCTTATCAAATTTTGACCAATCAGGATTTTAACATTCACCTGGTAGATGTTAATAACGAGAAAAACAATGGTTTCCTGGCAGGCGTTTTCCTCCCTCCTTCCTCGCGCGCCCCTCGCGTTTCCCTCGCGCCCAAAACTCCCTTTCCCTTCCCTTTCAAACGCCTGCCACGCAGGCTAGGATAACCGTTGCATTCGTCTATATAACGATTTTTTTAAACTAACATATGCCTATGATTTTCGGAGCTTCTGTTGTTACACTTCTGATCATTACCAAGATATTGCGATTATTGTTCAAAAATGGCTCTTAAAAATTTCGGTGTAAAAATCAAAACGATTCCTTGAACCTTCTTAATGAACGAACAAACGAACCAACGAATGAATGAATGACTTTATTTAAACACGGTCAATAATACAATACATGCATTAACATTATTTCAAAAGTAGGTTGAGTTTGATCGTCCGGGTGAACGTAGTCCTGAATAGGACTGTTGCTGACATCTGAGACACTTCTGACACATTTCAAAACACTTGGTAATTAAGAGCCCCTGATTTGTCAGCGTTATTAAACATGAAAAGAATGTCTATGTGGACATAGTTCTGAATCAGGAACTGTTGTTAACACGTCAGTTGATGGTATATCTTATATATTACAATTATATTGTTATTTTTTAAGTGGAACCCCGGTATTTAAACAAATCCTCGGCATTACGAAAGCGAATGAACGTTTTTAGCTCCAGTTATAGCAAGGCTACGAAAAGCTTCCGGTGTATCACGAGGAATAGTATGAACAGCAACGGTACCGCACGGCACTACACATCGTGCCGGAGCGGCTGCCGAGAGGATTTGGTGAACTATATTAATTCCTGTTCACTGTTCTTATATGTGAACTAGCTGGTACGGTTTTCGACGTTTTCGTGCCGGTGGAAACAATGCCGGCCCATGCCTCTTTCCGCCGGAGAGAAAACTTATTTTCTTCATTAGCATATTAGTATAGTGTACATTTTCTGATACAATTTTTATCCAATTTAAATTTATTTTTGTCTAGCGGGATTAAATACAATTCGAATCATTCGGGCGAGACAAAAAAAAAACAGACGGTGGATCACACATTTTCCAAGATTAAAAGACCTCGTACTTTCGTATTTTAAGCTAAAATCAGAATCATGCTGAAAGCATCGCTTTGTAGCAATCAAAACGGAAGTGAAAAGATTACCAAAAACTTTATTCATTGATTCATTTTTCTAAACATCTGGAATGCCGAACTGATTACGAAACGATTTCAATTTTCTTAATAGTAACGAACAACAACGAACGAAGGCCTAAATATTCTCGGCAGGTACGCAAACTTTGCCATTTGTTAAGTAAAATATGGAAATGAAACAACGATTTCCCACAATGAAGAAGGAACGTCATTCCTATCGGCTTACCTGACAGATTTGATCTTCCTTTATTACTTGATTTGAACTCTTCAACAGATGATTTCGAACTCCAAGTTCCATTTCTTTCGCACCTTAATGTATCAAGCCAGCTGATTTGTCGAAACCCTTCCCTGCAAACAAATTCAGCATTTTCTCCTGGTACAAAAATGTTGTTATTACAACCGGGTCGCCACTTCAACATGGCATTTGCCACGGGTGGCTTTGGCGTTGTACAATTTTTTTCCTGCAACGAATCAACACTTGGCGATGAAAATTCCGTTTTGGGCTGAAGGCATCCTATTATATCGACTGCTAAACATATGATAAGTAGAGAAGTAGTCCATATAAAGGATTTCATTCTCCTTAGTGAAATCCACACCATGATCATCGCTGCCTGTCTGGCTAAATCATGTACACGGCTGACTCTCAGCTGCTTTTGAATTGCGTGACAGGCAGCTAAACAAGGGTCAGTGGAAGTATGCCAGACGACCTTTGTTTTCTTTTCTAAAAAAGTCAGCGGAAGCAAGAGGAGGGATCAAGAGGTTGTAGTACGAAAAACCAAATAAATAATTCGTCAGTTTTTAAACTGACCAATTAGCCCCCCCGGGGGGGTAGAACCTCAAAAACCATACCCTATTCCGCGGTAGCCTGAGTATCAGGCCTTCCTAAGGGGCTAGGGGAGAGGACATTCTCTCCCTTTTTCGCTTCCATCTTTCCCCTTTTCCCCAGAAACGCCTGATACTCAGGCTAATCCCGCGGCACGTACCTGTATAGCCCATATTTGGGAGTACCCCCCCCCCGGGATCTAGCCTGACATTCGCAAACGGTGTTTGATTTTGGCGCAGACATGACAGTATATTAAACGAAGATTCCCTAAAGTTTTCTTTCTGCGCCAACACGTGTGATCCGTCGTGCGTTAAAATTCTTTATTACAATGCAGTGGTGGACAACTTCCAATTCCTATGCATGTATTCCTGTATTGTATTATATTTTGCCTCAGGGTTTTGGCTAAATAAAAATGAACTGAACTTACTCGAACCCCCCCCCGGGGGGGGGGTACTGCCATAGGATAGGGTAGGATAAGTGTTTTATTATTAACAGAGCGCCTACAGACACATGTGTTTACAACGATAACAAATATTTCCGTGCAATAATTACAGAGGTGTACATTTGTAAAATTTATACAACTATTAAACAAGGTTATATTTAACGCGTCTATCTCTTTCGCGATCATATACGTATTTAGCCACAATTTTTTGCGTTTTCCCTCCTTGCTTCATACTTATCAACGTTGTAAAGGTAGAGCTTGGAGTCATAGAGTCAAGAATATGCCATATATGGGCCGTATAGGTATGTGTAGGCTCGATTACCAGCCGCTGTTCGGGAAGATGAGCCAGCACTCATCCCCCGAGGATCCAAGACCGGACCCGGGAGACGGCGGAAATCGAGCCTAAGGTATGTGCCGCTGTGAAGGGTATGGTTTTCAAGCACTTTACTCCAGGATAGGGTATATAAATCAGAGCGTTTGGGTCTAGAATAGGGTATCATTTTTCAGGAAACTGCTGAAGACTTTATCTAGACTAGGGGCTGTGGTATAAGGTTTTGTTTTGACTAGACTGCGCTAGTGACCTCAGTAGTTTCTGGAAAACAGCTACTCTAGGATAGGGGGGGATTTGGGGAGTTTACTCTAGTACAGGGTAGCAAAATTCAGCTGAACTACGTAGCTCTGGTATAGGTCAAGGGTTCCAGGGTCCCAGCGGAACATCCCCACCCAGAAATTCCTAAAGTACCTCCTCCCCCCCCCCCCCCCCCCCCCCACCCCCAACCCAAAAACCCGCCGCCCCGCCGCACCAACCGCCGGGGGGGGAGGTGTGTGTCTGGTGGCGGCGGGGGAGACAATTTCTCGGAGGGGAGGGGGGGGTTTTGGGGGGTTTTCCTATATACGTGGAAACAAAATGCAGCTGACCACGGTGCCCTTGGTAAGGGCAAAGGTTCCCGGGGCCCCCGGCGACACCCCCCCCCCAAAAATCCCAAAATCCCCCCCCCCCCCCCCCCCCCGGGCTCGAACCACAAAACCGGAAACGCGTAGGCCGCGGAATAATGAGGCTTGGGGACTAGATTGTTTTCTTTGGGCGCAGGTTGAATGATATTACCGGATCAAATCTTCTCCGCACCTCTCGGCGTTTCTTAGACTGCAAAACAGTCCGTATTTTTGCGTATTCAAGCACGCGCGAGCAGTCAAACAAAAGGTCTGGAACGAGGATGAAAACAGAGAGCGAGAATACGGTCGGCATCACGAACAGACTTTTTGGCTATTTTACAGCTAACGATATGCGATTAACTACACTGAGACCGGTACCCTATGCATAGTCTGAACTTCGCGGAGTAGCTTGCGTAGCAAGCGTTTCCGCGCAAGTTCGTCGAGAACGTCGGGACGAGAGCAAAAGAAGAGGAACCCTTGTACCTTTTTTTTTGTTCCCGCTCTAACTTTTGTGCAATGACTCGATTGGAAACGCTTGCTACGCAGGCTATTCGCGGAGGGAAAAAGCCGAACAGCTTGCAAACTGTTCGCAAGACTATTTGCTGCATTTTCATGTGTTCTAGCCGGATTTTTGAAAACGTTACCGCCAAATGGACATTTGGTGTGCAGCAGTTTGTTTTCGGCCAAAAACTATCTCCAAGTAACCATTATAAAGCTAAGAGTGCAACCATTGCTTTTTTCTCTTCTCCTCCTTTCTTCTTCCTCGCTCTTTCACGTCTTCTCCTTTCCTTTTCCTTCGTTGGTGTGAGCCAATCGGACCCAAGAAACCTGCCTTATGACGCATTTCACTCAAATGACGGTAAATTTCGTTAGGTTGGTCGTCAAAACATCGCCGGCTAGATATACATGTTTATATATCGATTTATTTATTTTTCCTGAGTCGCGCTATACTTGAATGCCGTGGATTTTTTAGATTTTCTACATGTCGACCGCTTGGCTTGCGGAGCGTGCCTTTTTTTTTTTTTTTTGAAGTCTATGGATTTTTTATTTTTGGTTTTTCGTATTACTCTTACCGTGCAATGTATTTTCTTATTTAAAGAACATACTGCCCCTTTCCCACGGTTTAGTCATCTTGTGCGGGCCCTTTGTAGCTCTTTGTCGGTCTAAACCAAGTCTCAGATATAAAAGCTCCGCTGCATAAAAATTAATAATTATTGATAATTTGTTAATTGAAGTTGCGCAAATAACATCAGTCCTGAATGCGGATCCCGTCCATTGCCGCGGCATCGGCGGTAAAGCACACCGTATTCATCTATCCGAAAGTCTAAAACGCCCTTTATTAAAAAAAATGGACTCACCTTTTTTCCACGGTGTAACTTGTTTTAAAGATATAATTAATTCAGCGGTAAAAACGCAATAGTTCGAATTAATACAACGTAGAATTAATCATTTAGGGGCTGTCGGCACACTATTGCGTTTTCGTTTGAATGAAGCATACAATATGTTTAGGCCTTCCGTCCACACACAGTACGCTGAGCGCGTTTTCATCGAAAACGCATCTCGATTTTAAAACACTCTTGAAGGTGGATCAAAAAGGAAAACGCATACATATCGTATTGGTGTTGCATACGCAAGGGAGAACGTTTTAGTGTGGAGAGAGGAAAACGTATCAAAACGGTAGTGTGGCATGGACGCGAACCGAGCGATGCGTTTTCAGTGTGGATGGAGCCTTAAAAGTTACCGTAAAATCCCGAAAATAAGCCCCGGGGCTTATATTTTTCAAAGGCCCTTTTTTGAGGGCCTTATTTTTGGAGGGGTTTATATTCGGAGGGGCTTATCGATTGGGCAAGCCTTATAGTTGGAAGGAAATTTACCGTTTTTGCTTTCTTTTACTTTGTATTTGAGAGCAATTTCCAAGTACAAGCCCCCGGGGGGGGCTTATATTTGGAGAGGCAATTTAACGGAGGGTTTTTTGCGTTACGAGTTTGGGGGGCTTACATTTGGAGGGGCTTATACATGGAGGGGCTTATTTTCGGAATTTTACGGTATGTCATTTCTGGATGGTAACGCTAAAGAAACTTCGGGCTCCTGCTGCTATAATTATTTCTTTCCCTCTTTTTTTGTCACAAAGTGGAAAAGGTATCATTTGCTGCAGAATTTCCGTTGCAATACTGCGCTGCTAACGCACTTGCGTTTTAGCTTTACATGAATGGCACTACAAGACTCTGGGTTCGCACCATGTATCAGGTATTAATCCAAGACAATCTTGGATTCTGTACATATTCCGCCCTCTAGATTTCGGATACCAGCTACGACAGCTACTGGATTACGGATTTATTGCTGGCACTTGGATTCCGGATTCAACAAGGAAATATTTTCGGGATTGCGGATTCCACTACGTTCAAGCAAACATTTCTTGGATTTCGAATCCCGATTACAGTCGACTCCCGATAATTCGAACCTTCAAGGGAAACAGAAGAAAGTTCGAGTTATCGAGGGTAAAATTCTGATATAGAAAATGTTCTGAAGGGAAATAAAAATTGCTTCGAGTTAGCGGGAGGTTCGAGTGGCGGGAGTCGACTGTACCTTAAATGGGGCGAACAGGTGGATGGAGTGCAGGGTGGGGTGGGCAGGGGGTGTTTCACACCCCATATCCGCTCGTACTCGCCAGGAAAACGCGAGAAAATAGCTTCTGCCAGGAGTCTTTGACTCCTGCTTCTGCTCCACAGGCCACACTAGTACTTAGTAACAGCAAAACTGCAAATCAGGCACCAGGCCATGTGTAAAAAGCATGCATTTCTACGAACACTCTAATCTGACCAGTCCCTCCCTTGTTTTCTATACAACGGCCGGGTCCCGATAGTATCTCAAACCAGGAGCATGGGCTCCTGCTCAAACGAACTTGAATTATGAAAAAACTTTGGGACCAGAGTATTAGGGCATGAGTTACTGCGAAATACCTGACCACTTGAGGCCACTTCATTTACGTTTGTAGTTACGCTTTGTGGAACGAGTCATAACACATATATGCCTTTCCGTCATACTCAACGAGATGCTAAATCTCCACGAAAGAATGAGCGAAACCGCACCCTTTTTTTTACTCGACGCACTAGTGCTTTTTCTTCCCTGTCTTTCTTTCAGCATAACGCGATCATTTTGACAAGGGATTATTCGTAGCCTGCGTAGCAAGCGTTTCCAATCGAGTTACTGTGCGAAAGTTAGAGCGGGTCATTCCCCTTCCCTCCCCCTCCCGTCCTTTCTTTTTTTTTTTTTTTTTGCTCTCGTCCCAACTTTCTAGACGAACTTGCGAGGAAACGCTTGCTACGCAGGCTAGATTATTCGCTGTCAGTCAGCGTAAAGAAGGGAAGTCGTGGGAGGGAAAATACTACAAATTTTGCAACCGTTTGCGTTCTTGGCATTAGATTCTCTGTCAGAACTGGCATAGCCTGCGCGTGTGGCAGGCGTTTAGTGGAAGGACTGCAATTCCTGCCTGGAATGCGCGGGCGTATATCGCGAACGTAAAGATGCAATCACTCAGACCTTTTTCAGTAACTACCAACATACTTCTCACGCCATTTAGCATCTTACAGCAAAAGGTTATCGAAAGGTAAATCCTTATCTTTAACGCGACTTAAATTCCTTCCTAAAATGACAATCACTAACTTGTAGATTGATTCTGGGACAAAAAAGTAAAATGCAACGCGTGGGACAAGGGAACATCAACATGTCGAACTTTTAAGGCCGATCTGGTTTTCGTCAATTTTACCAGATTATCTACCGAAGATGAGATTAGATCGGCGCAAGAATTGTAAATGAACAGAGGTGTTTCGGCGTTTCGCATGCAAAAGCCGCCACACTTTCGATTTCCTGTCGACTTTGAGAAAAAACATTAATTCTGCTAGAAACCCAGGGAAAATAAATTTTCTACGGTCCATCTTCCGGGATCCTTGCTTCGACAGCGGGTAATAATCTAGTGGCACATAACAACAATATTAAACATTCCACTGTTATGGATAGTTTTTTGTGTAATATTCGTCACAACGTACTTGTATATGATAAATGTAAAGCCGTGAAATCAGCGAAAGAACAGAAAAATTTCGCGCCTTTTGAGCGCACGGAAATCTAATGCCGGTATGCCTTTAATTAAGGTAATTGTCCGTGACATTTGGAGCGTACAACGCGTGCAAATGTGAAAAAGCCAAGTCCAATCTTGTAAAAATCTATTTTTTCACCCCATTGAGTCCTTTGAGTCTGAAAATTTAAGAATATCTCGTTGCCTTTGCAATAAGGGCTTGTTAGGGATGACAGCGATCCTTCGCCAGTAATGTAATTGTTGTTTTAAGTTTGAATGCTAACTTGTTAATGAAAGGTCTCCACCTCTAAAAAAGATAATGCATTATCGCACCTTAAGCGTGGGAAAAAAGATGTATCATCAAGCTCAGAAAAGTTTTGACTTTGACAGATGGGATATAAATAAAAACCTCACATCATGTTCTTTCTTACCCGAACTGATTGCTTTTTAAAAGTGATTATGTTACCAATTTTATGAGGGATAATTACGGATTATAGTAAACCGATTGTGTAAAGCTATAATTATAATACTTGAGACTTGGCAAACAACTTTTCCTAATTTTTGTTTTCTTCAAAAAATTATTTCTCTTAGAGTAAAAGAAGTGAAAGTTTTAAATTTCAGAGGAAAGATGTAGTTGTTTTTTTTTTTTTAAGCCAGGATGCCTTGAGTGTACTCGAAATTTTTGCCATCCGCGCCCCGGACAGCCGTCCTTTTTCCTTGCCTGTCAAGCGGTACTTTTTATCTATCGAAGCTGAGATCAAGCGATAATCTACTAGTTTGAAAGCAGGTTGGGTAAGCTATCAACAAAAGATAAATCAAACCAGCACTCTATGCAGGCCACCCAACCCGACAAAAAACGAAGTCGTTTATAATAATTACATAGAGATATCAATCGAATTACTTGCAAACCTAAGCTTTAACTCTACAAAATTTGAATGTATTGCACCTTTAATTGTCGGATTAAAAAAGTTTTGTTTTCTTCAAAGCAAACTTGTTTGTGTTCCTCTGGGAAAACTTGTCATTTGTATTGTTGCAGCTGTTGTTGTGAAATTGACCCTAATTAAAGCATAATTGGTGTGAACCCGGGTATAAATTACTCGCAATTTTGTGGTCGAGATCCAGTTCCCACGTGCAAGCCAAGGGTGAGACAGAACGTTCTTGTTTCGAAATGGTAAGAAAGTTTAAGCAGTCATATTCTTGCATATATCAGTATATCTCATTTTCGGAAAAGTCTGGCTCTTTAGGGAATGTTTTATTGCACTTGACTGGGTTTCCACTTGGAAATTGTACCGTCCCGAACATCAGCAACATCGAGACGATCGAACGTGATGTGCTGACTTGGCCACTTGGAGGCCTTTTGTAGTTGGAAAAAATGCTCTGTGATCAGTAACTCATAATTTTTGTAATAGCAACTTCGTATGAGAACTTGGTGAAGAGATTATAAATATTTGTGCTTTTCTCTTTTTAACAGGACAGTCAATCTACGTACCTCTTTGGTAAACGATTCAAAAACCGGCTGTTTGTGGGGGGATTACCAGTGGACGTAAGTCAATACTCTGCTTTTTTTAATGGTCGATTTTATATTTTAACGCCTAAAAAGGTGGATTTGGCGTGCCTGAGATGTGAGAGTCATGAAGATGCTAGAGTAGTTGCCACTTAAAAACCACGGGAGGCCAAAATGGTGACCAGTGATCGCATTTGCTGAAAGTGGAGAAATCCCCCGCGTTTCGACTGTTATGTCCAAAGTGTTTGCGAGTTTACACAATTGCTATATTTGAAGAAGTATTTCTAAAAATTTTGTTTGATTTTACGTAGTTTTGCTGTCCTTTCGCAAACAAGACTGCTTGTTTTGATTTGGGTCTGTTACGCGCGCGCTTGCTGGATCTCAAGAAAACAGCTTTAAAGATATCGAAAGAAACGAATACCCTTTCAAATCGCTTAAAACCGAAGTTGCTTCTTGTTTAGGGTCGATAGAGGTATCATGAACTGTGAAAATTTTTAAAAATCCCTTTGAATTTGGGGATAAAATTTAGCCCGCGTCGATTGCTGTAAAAATATTTAAGTTTCAATCCTCTTGCATGAAGTGATTTGCTTCCGGTTGGTCGTCTTAATAATTTTTTTGTGGGATTGAGATTGTCATTATCGTTATCCCAACAATTTTTGAATTACCAATGTAAAATAAACCTTGTTGCCGGCGAAATCTTTTGTCATCTTAGTCTTCGGCGATAAGCCATTATTGTAATTATGCATCAGAAAGCGCGCCAATATTGGCGCGCTCTAATTATTCGCTACATCCGAAAGTGCTCTTGGGAATGTAAAATGGCGGGCGCAAAGAGCGGTCTGCATGAAGTTGGATGGGAACAAATTGGATTTAAAGACAAAGACTGTTCATACGACATCATGTCTTTCATTATGGAGTAGAAAATTGTTTTGTTGTTCTTTTTTAGAAGTGAAAGTACTCGTGGCCGCATCCTGATTTACCAAAATGTATTTTTTTTTGCAGACAACAGCGCAAGAGCTCGCAGAGTTCTTTTCGCATTTTAGCGTGGTTATAGAGGCAAAAGTCATCTTTGACGAACATCAAATCCCAAAAGGGTAAGAGAGATCAGTCAGTAAATAATTTGTCTAAAACTTTGACACACAACTCTACAGCCCATTGATAAAGGCCCAAAAAATTGCCACAGAAGCCAGGAGAAGGTAACAAATCTCACCAACGTATCATATAAATTTAAACTTACGTACTTTAGACAGAAAAGAATTCTCACCAGAAGAACAAAGTAGCACAGAAAAAAAGAAATTAAGACTGAATCCACCAGGAAATTCTTCTTTACATTTTTTAAGGTCTAAAGAGGTAATTAGTCATCTGCAATAGGCCATTTGCACTAAGAGGTCATGTGACATTGTTTTTATGAAAATGAAAGTTATATGATTTTGCCTTCAAAAAATGATTAGCGGGTCATATCCTAAACAAAATAAAAGTGATTTGGGTTTTCAAACCTGCACCATTGTCTTAAAATGAGTAAGTTCGTAGCTGGTCACGTGACCAAAATGTGATTTTGAAAATTACGAATTACTTCTTTCTGAACACGAATTTTGCAGTTAAACTTCAAGGAAAATTTTGAAAAAAGGATGTGGCAACGTTTACAGCACATCTGAGTGTAACTATCAAAAGTTTAACAAGATGTAAGCAAAAAGTAGTTTTGGCCGCCATGTTGGAGGGCAAGAGTATGCCCTCCAACATGGCGGCCAATACAAATCATACTACAAACAACTTTTTAGTTTCACGGTATTTTATAGAGGGAATTTACGAAAAGGTCTCAAATTTTGGGTGTAACATAATTTTTATGTGCTCTGTCAATTTTTGGCATCAGCAGGACTCCAACTAATTGTTTAAGGGAAGTATTGGTCACGTGACCTCTTAGTGCAAGTGGCCTATTCATCAGTCAATTCCAGCTGTGCCCAGTGCCCCCCCTTCTCCCCCCCACCGGCATTACTAATTTTTTTTGCCTTGATTGGCAAATTCCCAGGGGTGATGACTCCTGAGCTGTCAAAACCCGCGGGGTGGGGATGAAAAAAGAGGGCAAATGCCTCATTCTCCATCAACACTGCAACATTTTTCATTGATCACACAGTCAAATAGTGCCGTTTTAAACATTTTCATGTGCGATTTTTCTTGCAATTAACGTCTTCCCTTGTAATAGCGCTAGGATTCTAATAATTATTAAGACTTCACGCTGTGATGACATGCACCAGTTTATGGTGTTAGTATTGCTATAAAAATATTGTCATTAAACAGCACTGTAAAGTTATACGTTATGAATAGTTTTATAAACATGAAAGAATGTTCTTCAAATAATATCAACCGAAATTTGATTCAATAACCAATAAACTTGGCTTTGTAATTCTGCCTTGATAAGCAATGAAGAAATGCGTGCAAAAAATAGAGAACATGCCTTTACAACCCTCTTCAATTTTTTCCTGTCCTTGACAGATGAACCAATCTGCTTTTTTTCCAGTAAAATCTTCAGTGTAGTTAGATTCTGATAGGAAACTGCGTGCGTGTTAAAAGCTCAGGAATGGCCCTAGGGTTGGCAAATGCCCGGCCCCCGGGCAGTGCAAAATTTGCAAATGCCCCACCCTGGGGGGCTGGGCGCAGCTGGAATTGACTGATGCATAATAACACCAAAGAAAATTTCTTTTGGGAGTCTGAGAAAATGAACATCAAATTTCACAAGAATTGTGAAAACACAGGTATAATAATTCTAAAAATTTCATGTGTAAGATATAATTTTGTGAAATTTGACATAATTTCATTTTCTCAGGCTCCCATAAGGAATTTCTTTGGTTTTTGTTACAGATGACTAAAAACATCTTTAGCCCTTGAAAAATGTAAAAAAGAATGCAAAATGCGTTAAATTATTCTAGCACAAGGTTTTTGTCCACTGAGAATTGAAATTACTCAATTTCCTGGTGGATTCTGTCTTAAACACAAACATAGGAGATAAAGACTAGCACAGGAGGAAGGGCTCTTTCTTCAGCACCAATTATTGCCAACAAGCAGCCTTGCCAAGTGTGTTAAAAGGCAATTCGTATGGATTTGTAAGTTACGCATGAGAAATTGTCTTTGATTCACAAGATCAACTTCTTCCTGTAGGACTGGTGGATAGTCTGGTGAACAGAGGAAAAGAATAACCTTATACAATGTTTATTATTCTACTGTTATTCACCAAATGTCTGTATAGAGTCTGTTTAGTTCATAGGAGAAACAGTAATGCATCAATCAATTCCACCTGCGCCCAGCCCTGACCCCCAGGCATTAGCATTTTTTTTGTCTTGGATGGCAAATTCCCGGGGGTGGGGACTCTTGAGCTGTCAAATCTCCCGCGGTGGGGACGAAAAAAGAGGGCAAATGCCCCATCCTCCGTCAACACTGCAACATTTTCATTGAGTACACAGTCAAATGTTGCCATTTTAAGCATTTTTCATGTGAGATTTTTTGTTTCAATTAACGTCTTCCTTTGTAGTAGCATTAGGATTTTATTCAAGCTTTCATGCCGCGACAACATGCGCCAATTTATGGTTTTGGTGTTGATATAAAATTATTGACATTAAAATTAATAGACCTGTACGAATATTGCAGCGCTGTAGAGCGCCACAAAATTGCTTAAAAATAGCTGTACAGCTAAATTATTAGCAGCATTTTAGAAGCCAAACAGCAGCTTAATTCAAGTTGCAGCGGGATGCAAAAGGGCTGTGCAGCCTTTGAAGCTCTCGGCAGCAGTTTTGCAGTGCAGTTGCCCACCTTCAAATGCTGCGAAGGAGCTGCAGTAACTCTACAATTCAGCTCTGTTGATCTGATAGCACAGCGTTCTTGAGCGCTCATAACATGAATCTCCAGAAAAGCCTTGCCAAAGATTATGGCTTTTATAACTAGAAAACTTTGACTGTACCTCTAAGAAATGTGAGTAAGCTTGTGCACAGGGAAGATCACTTATTGAATAAACCTCCAAATTCTATGCTTTGGTTAAATTTCATTCCGTGACTGGCCATTGTGGGAATGTTATTGCTAATTCCCTGGAGACATTCTGCAGGTGGAATTGACTGATGCATAAATAGCCAGCTCTGCCGTAAGTAATAGGCCTTTATCTTTATTTTACAGCTATGGCTTTGTCACTTTTCAAACAGAAGAGGATGTTCGTAATGTCACAGAAATGGTAGGGAATTACTTATGGTCTCTCACTGCAAACATTACAGTGCGACAACTATAACCGGGGCCACTTAGACAAAGTTGACCAATCGGATTACAAGAAAATAACAATACATTCATTACAGCTGGTTGTTGGCAGCTCGTAAGAAAAAACAATAAGTTACCTGCAACACAAAATTTAGTATTGATAGCAAACGTTATTAGGGAAAGCAAAATGTTTAGAAACTCCAGACGTTTTTCTGTTCGAAACTTTGCATACAACACCCACGAGACATATTTCTTTGACACAAGCTGTGTTTTTTATTTTGTCATCTACAAGCAATTTTTTTGCTCCTTTTTCCTTCCTTTCCGGTAACATGCGACCGTAAGTCAAAAATATAACTATCATTTATGCTTTTTGCCTCCGTCACCCACTCTAACAGACCTCTCTGGAAATACATGCTTTCTTCAGTGGGTTCAAAAGGTCATGTCTGTAGGTTGGTTGATTGCGGTGCATGTTGTTTGTTTTTTTTCATGGTAGTTATGATTGACTACTGACTTTCTCAGAATGTATTGTTATTTTTTTTGTTTTGTTTAATTAACCAATTATTGGTTAACTTTGTCTAGCTGGCCCTGGCTATAAATTTTTGTGGGATTTTTTTTTTGGATATAGGTGATATTTTGTGTTTTGTGGGAATTAATTTTTACGATTATGAATGATTGTTTCTTTTGCTGGGAATTAATTAGTGCCCAGCATTGACAATATTTTTATTTTTATTGAGTACATGCAATAAATACATATTTTCAAACAATAACATGGTAGAACCAGTATTTCTTTGTATACCCCTTTGTTTTTGAAAGCAAGAGACAAGTTGTAATTAATTGAAGAGACGTGGTTTCTTAGTACTGTATTTTTGTGCAGGGGATTTAAGTCAGAGAATATATTTTTCACGAATTGTGTTTGCTGTTTGATTTTTCTTCTTAGCGCATATGATGAGCAATTTAAAATTCTCTGAGCCCTGTATAATGAAAGGGATTTTTGCGTTCAAGGTACGAGAACGTAACCCCTGATTTGTGAGCACGTGAAATTGTTCTGAAAGAAAAGGTGCATGTAGAATTGATTTTGTTTTCTCCAGACCTGTCACCCTTTTGAATTTATATGATCTTTGTTAAATTTCACAGGGGACCCTCTTCTTACGTAATAAGAAATTGAATTTAGGTCCTGCAGTTAAGAAGCAGGTAGGATTTGCTTTTATTTAATATTTCTAGTCTGGTTTGAAAGGAAATGCATGTGGGCTATTTCAGTAATTAAACAAGTCTTCTTGAGCACTTGAAAAGAATTGACTTTTGTCCTTCGTGATGTTTACTACAGTATTTGTATTATGTTTAAGCTTACTACAGTCTATTTAGGTACATGCATGCAATTATACATTATAACTGTTGACCATTGTTGAACCATCCTTATAGTGTTTTTAGTGGTCACTTTTGTGTTTTGCTCATAAATGTTGATTGCCAATTCCAATTGGTTGAATTGGACTGCATTTTGTAACTCAGCTTCTTTGAATGGTTTGTTTAAAACTAACAGATGTAAATATTTTTGCCCAATTGTAATTTTATTATTGTATATTACCAGAAACCCATAAGGGGTTGAAACGTGTAACTCGCGTTCAATGCTTGTGAATATTCATTTTGACCATATTTGGAAATCTTAGTGATGGATACCCATTTTCAACAAAATGGCCACTGCACAATCACCATGCAGATGTTTAAGACAAGAGTTCTGCATTTCAAGGTTAAAAATACACCGTTAAAAGACAAAAAATGGAAAGAGAAAGTTCAAAAGAATGCTCAGCTTTCTTTTTGTGGAGAAAGGGAAGCCCATGGTCTGTTTTGAAATACAACCAAGTCAGCAAAGTTTTTGCGGAATTTTCAGGTACATTTTGCACTCTATGGCCAAGACAATTACGTTTTTGAAAGGGAATTTATGTATTTTCAAATGTTTCATAGACGTTTTCAAAATTTTTCTCTTCGGCGCTAAAGAAAAATTACAAAAGTGCCCTGATTTGAGATGGATTTTGTGTTGAATTTTGCTATGTGCTTAGCCGATGTCACTTGCGTGAATGGATCCACGATCCAGATAGTGTTTTCCGAATTGCTTTAAAGGATTAACTTTTTGGACTTTGAATAAAAATTTTCAAGAAACGGCTTCTCTGTCTATTGTTTTGAGTTTGTTCATTCATAAAATTAGCTAAAAACACAATCGTGACTACAACATCTAAGTTTAATTGACGTTTTTAAAATGCTTCTCACATTCATTACAAGCATCACTTTTTGCGAAGATGTCGGGTTCAGGTTTTGGACACTTTCGATACGCAGCTAATGAAATTTTTCACTGTTTATTCTAGACTTTTTACATAAGAATTTTAAAAGCCTATTTGTAGTATAAGTTTACTGTGCAGAGGGTCAACGAGGCATCGTTTTTTTGAAAGTGACAACTTCAAGAAGTTGCGAGGCCATCAATGGGTTTCATAATGTTACGTTTGGCCTGGGTGGTAAGGCAATAATATCCTGCTCAGTGTTTCGGTAATATTCTTGGTTTCAGCCTTTGAAAGCTTTCTCGGCTTTCGGGAGTTTTTGCCCCGTTTGTCGGCCATTTTTTTAAGCGGGCGCGGGAACCTGAAGGAAAATTATGTCGCGTTGTTTACGAAGTTTGATTGGTCAGTTATCTCTTCTTCTCATTCCAAATATGGTACTTTCGAAAATGAATAATCACGAGCATCGGACGAAGCAAACATATGAGAGTTACACGTTTCAACCCCTTATGAGTTTCTGATATTACGACATAATAGCCCCATATGGAGGAGTCGTAATAAAGTGTATGGTATGTTATGTTATGTAATGAAGTTGCTGTGGCTGCATGGAGACCCTGTGAAATATTCAATGGTGAATCCGTTCCTTTTTGTTTTGGCTTATCAGTGAGTCATTAATCCATTAGCAGTAGTATAAAGTAGGTTTTATTTTCTTTTGTTACTACAGGTACCCACGCCAGTAGTAGACAACTCGGAATTAGTAGTTGGTATGTTTTTTTTCCTCATTGCTCAGCCTTCCTTTTTTGCTATAAAAATCTTATTACCAAGATCAGTAGCAATTACAATATCTCCTCAACCTTAGCAGCTACAAAGCTTGGCACAAACAATAACAACATGTTGAACTACAGATCCACCAAAAATCATGGATATTTATTGAATTCTACATTTTTTAGAAATTTATTTTTTACAACAATGTGCATAATTCGGGCCGTCACGCGTTAACATTCACATGCAGCAAATTATCATGTTGGTAACATTTCATGTTTAAGCATAATAGATTTGAGCGGAACTAGTATCCTTATAAATCAAAATTATTCATAGATTTCAGCTGTAAAGGTCAAATTTTGTCAGAAAAAGCGGTTTTTGAGAAAAATGAGCTTTCTTGAACCAGTGTACCAGCGTCACGCTGTACGTTTCAATCCACGAATTCAGCAATGCGTCCAACATTTCAAAATATAGATTGCTTCAAAGTTAAAATGGCCTCAATAACTGGAATGCTCACCTTTTCAACTGTCAATCCTGAAAATTTTAACCTAATTCCCCTCTACCATCCAGAGAACGAAGCAAATTTCTGATTACCAAAGACTTTAAAATGCGCCATGTTTACACCTGATTTTTGCAAGGAAGGCAAAATGCAAGCAGTCTCCACGCGCGAAGCATGAAACTAACCTTGCTGATTTTCTTTCATGTGTCATTCTCAACTCACAACGATTGTAAATAGCAACTTTCATGGAAAAATATAAGAAATTGTTTGCCCTAGAAGCAATTTTCTGAATACCAAATGATTTGAAACGTTTCATGGAAGGTCTCAGGTTACATTCACAGGGTTGTCACTAAGATTTCAAGTTGCCGGATAAATACAACAAGTAGGCGGGGAATCAAACGGCTAGGGATTTCTTTTGGTTCTATTTTTCTTCTATTTTCCAATAAAAGTAGCCGGGGGTCACTCTCTTAGTAGCTGGGGAAAATCCCTGGCCCCCGGCTCTTAATGACAACCCTGCATTCAGCAACATTGATCTCAAAGACACGCATCAACCACGCAAACTTTCTCCACCATCTCACTTGCTTTAACTCGAAGGAAGGCTTCACAACGACCTTGGTAACCACCCAGAAGCTTATTGTTATGCAACAAATCAAAAACACGTGAGAAAATGTTCAGTACATGTGTGGTTTTAGTGACATTTTAGGGCTACAATTGTCTGCATAATTTTATTTATTTACATAAAAAACACAGCCAAAACAAAAATTTATGTCCTTACATCTCTTTTATTTTCAAAAGAACATTTTTGTGAGAAAAAATTTAGAAAATGGACCTAATAATGTTAACAAACATGAAATGGGCGGGGCCACAATGCATCCTGGGTACTACAGAAATTGCTCCGATTAACCCTTTCGTGCGCAAGTTCCTGGGAAGGAAAAGGCCACTAAAAATACTACCAACAAAAAATTTATTTCTTCGCATCGATCTTGATAGTATGATGTGAAAAATTGACCTAGAGTGTTTCGAAAGGGTTAAGTCAAAATGAGCTAAAACGGGCTAAAATGTTGTAATTTGGTTGAAGAGGTTCATTTTCATTGCAAATAAATGATTTTAAATGAATTTTGAAGTTTTTTAGAATTTTTCATATTTTCTTAACATGTTACGCATCTGTATATGTGTAGTGTGCTACTGATCTAAACAAACATTTGACTGTGGATGTTGTGGTTCAATGTCATCCTTAAGCTTGACTCTAATTTTTTTCCCTTTGTTTGAAAGTCACTATCATAGACTACCAGTGTACTTATAAACATTAGTGATATTAAAAATTTAAGGGTAAAACTGGACCACATTATAATATGAACAAGAATGATTTTAGAAAGACTTTTATTTTCTTATTCTATTTATGCCATTCATTCTCTTCCTTTAGTATCTGGAAACATGCGAGGGGAGTTTTTCTACCCATGCCCAGTCACTGCAGTTCCTGTTAATCCATACCAGGTAATTTTCTGAAAGATTTCAGTGCAGCAAAATGATTTTGCTGGTTTTAAGTCGGTTGGTTTAAAGTGTAGGGTTTAATTTTGATGCCAAAATTTCTAGTATTGTAAAGATTTGTTCATGATTGGATGCTTTTAAGGCTGGTTTTCACTTGCGTTGGAGTCATAAGTGGAGTCATAAACACAACAGAATTGGAGTCAGAAGAATCTTAACATTTCCATTTTCCTCCAACTCTCCTTACGACTCCATCTCTGGTGTTCCAGTTATGATCTAGTGAAATCCAGATTGTCTGAGTCGGAAGCATAGGGAAAAGGATTAATGATCATGGGTCACCATACACGTTCCCCCTATACGCTTTGTGGTAGGTTTAGTTCTTCTGCTTCTGATTTGGTAGATTAGTTACTGCAGATCACATTTAAAGCAAGGGCAACTTAAAACCAAGGGAAGTAATTTATGAACGGCACACATTTTGGTTACAAGTGTATGTTGAACAGCTTAAAAAATAATTCAAACAATATGCTTGACCAGAAAAGCTTTTTTCAAAAGTGATAGCTAAACCCAAGGTCTTGGAAAACTGGAAAAAGTCATGGAATTTGAAGACCTCAAAATAATATAAACCCTGTTGTAGCTAAAGCTAAGCTGATTGTTTCCGTTCTCTAGGCCTGCCATCCAGTTCCTCCCACATATTATGCACCCTCAGGATATGTTACAGGTAATATGCAGACTGGTAAGATTCAACAGTTTTCATAGCACTAGAAAATATTAACATAGGCTGCTTCATTGTTGGTGAATAAGAGGAATTTCCCAGAAAAAAATATAGTTAAAGAGAAAGTCATGTATTTTTTGACAAACCTAATGACCTGGAGCTTCTAGAAATACCTTTTGGAATGAATTTAAGAATTATGTTCACTTACAACCTGTGTAACTTTGTTTTGCAGAGTGGAAACAACCCAATCTCCAGATCGCTCCACCTTTTTCAGTCAATGTGTCATCAGGCCATGCACATACTGTAAGTTTAGTTTTAGTCTACTTGACCTATAGAGCGGTTTTCACTTGACTGTCGTAAAACCAAAACCAAAGTAAATACACTAACCAACCAAAGGGCGTAGTAAAACCAAAACCAAACCAATTCCTCAATTACTTTCGACAGTCAAGTGAAAACCGCTCTATTAATTTAAACACAAATTCCTCATCCTGGCTTTCCACTCTGGAAATCTTATTTAAACAATCTTCCATGGACATATAGTATAGGCACATATCAAAAGTCGGAACTGGTTAGCTTGACTAGTTATTTTGTAAGAGCCCAGTTTTTTTTGCCTGTATACTATTTTGGAAATAGAGTGATAAGGCTTGATAGTCCCAATAAATATTGTGGAATTCTCTTTATGACAGAAATGGTTTAGCCTGCTTGACATTTTAGCTGATGTAAATTTGTTGACCTAAGAGAGCTGTTAAAATAACATCAAAAGACAGGGTTCTGTTTTGTCAACAGTTAACTATACTAATAAGAAAATGTAAGAAATAGGTCATTGTGATAGGCTCAATTAACGAAAAGATGTTGGGCTCATGTAGTGTATATGTTTTTGGGCAAGGTAATGTATGCTAATGAGTTTGAAAAATTTAAAATTTAAACCACTGATAAAATTAAACCACAAGATATCCACTGTACAAGTTCATGCATGCGCTGGTGGGAGGGTACTTGGGTTAATTTTTGCTGGGTATATGCTGCAGGCCTCTCAGAGCCCCTACCCCTTTACAGTCAAACCTCAATTATCCGGACTTTTTCTCTGGTCCCAATTTGGTCGCGATCCCAACTTAGTCACTTTCTGTGTTTATGAAGTGACCCATTTTTTAGATTGAATGAAGAACACTTTGCTTTTCATCTGCAGTACAAACATTCTGGTGAGTTTGCTAACCATAAATATGAAGAACTGTCCTACCACAGAAAATCTGAAAATGTGCAACCCCATTCTAGTAACTCTATCAAAAGTCCAATCCCATTATAGACAATCCAGTCGTGAAAATGTGACCCCATCCAGCGGCACATCCCCATTAGCCTCTTATAAGGAAGTACCCACCCCCTGGGATGCATGCTGACACAACTATTTTTTTGTTATGTTTAAGATTTTTTTCCCCATTCATTAACTTCTCCCAATTCATTTCAGATGAGGCACCCAAAAAGGATCAGACATCATGCTCCAAGATTTCGCAAAATGCAGAGAGATACAGTATAATATTTTCACTGTATCTCTCTGATTATAATAATTATCGGAATTTTAGGAAACTCTTGAATTGTTAATAAGTATGATTATAATGATTATTATTATAATCATACTTATTAATAATTCAAGAGTTTTCTAAAAGGCCCGCAATCACCAGCCAACATAGTCTGTTAAGGGTATGCAATGGTAACACCAAGACTTTTTGAGTACCGTCTTAATTCAATTAAATGCCACTGAGTTTATTAAATTTTTAGCATTTCCAATGCGGCGTTTATTCAAGGGCAGCCTTTATTTGGAAATCACTTTTTTCAAATCCCTGACAACAGTTATTGACCACTACAGAAAATACCATAGCATACCATAATGCTCTTTGTTTGTCACCCCAAAATTTTGTATAAGCATTGTCTTCAGTTACTCTTAGGAGTTAAAATGGCCCCAAGAGAAACTAAAAACAATGCTCATGCAAAATTTTGGGGTAACAAACAAAGAGCACTATGGTATGTTATGATATTTTCTGGAGTGGTAAATTGTAAATCGTTTGTAAATATTATGTAATTTAAAGGTTCCAATGTATCTCTTATTTTGGTGAGATAGGATCCTATATGTCTAGATGGTGTAAATTGCCAAGTTGTACGGAGGTTTTTCTTATTACCCTTGAGTAAACGCCGCATTCTTCTGATCAGGTTTCAAGACCTCAAGACTTCTGTTTAGTCAAACTAAACCTGAGACACCATTTTTTTGAAATGATAATTCCTTTGAAATTCTATCAAAACAAAACAGAAATTTTTAAAGTGGGTAAACTTCCCTTTATGAGCTGTAACAGCCTTGGCTTCTATTACCTGTTATTATTTTCAAAAATTGCAAGTACAACAATGCTATTATGACTGTTAACTTGCGTAGAGTTAAACCACACTTGCAAAACTACATAAATTTCCAGTATTATCAAGACGTTAAAATGCCCCAAATTCTAGCAAGCTTGCAATTTTACATTCTAAAAATTCATATTTTGTGAGACTTGCCATTTTTGAATAGACCATTGTATACCCATGCGTTATGATGTTTTGTGTCGGTCTTGTTAGCTTGACTGTCTTTGCATGAGGAATATTAATCTTTCCTTGCTTGGTCGCTATGTCACTGCTCCAGTCCAGCCCAAACTCTTGATATGATGTAAGCTCATAACGAGGAAACTCGAACTCTAATTTTGGAACAGAGATATCTTTTTGTATAGATTTGTCCAAGTCATGTGGACACAACTTGAACTTTTCATATCGTAATTTACTACCTTTGCAAGAATTTTACTTTTTTATTCTCTTTAATGGCATTTTATTAATTGACCTGGAAGATCTTTTGGCTTAAAATTCTTAGT